AAATAGACTACATTTTAGTAGTATATTTGATTAGTATAGAAACAGCTTTACATCTGTCAAGACTTATCCTGGAGCAGATGGAGACAGACCACGTTCCACTGGTGGGAGTATTTCGAGTCAAACTCAAAACAGTGCAGAAAAGAAAAGCACAATCATACGACCTACGCATGCTGAAAGACCTTGATACGAAGATGATATTGCAAGACAGGTTAAACAAGCAAGTGACTGCAATTAGATACGAATCGAACGAATAACAAACGATCAAACAAATTACAGAAATAGTGCAAATATAAAGGATAAACACGTAAAGACAGATAGATTAATGAAGAAAAAATTATGGATGACAGATGAGATCCTGAAACTAATGGACGAGAGGAGAGAAGCAAAAAATGACGCAGAGAAATATAAAACCATAAATATATTAATAAGAACGAAAATCAGAGAAGCGAAAGAAAAAGAAGCAAGGCAAAGATGCGAAGAAATTGAGACTATGCAGTCAAAGTACGATAGTCACAATGTACATAGAAAAGTTAAAGAACTCACAGGAGAACTAAGAAAGCAGAAAGCAGAAAGGAAATATAACTGATTCTGACGGAAACATCACCTTGGACAAACAGAATAAAATAGAACGTGGAAAGAATATCTAGAAAAACTATTTAAAGACCAAATAGATAACACCTTTGAGCTAGAAGAAGTAAATGATAGATCAAGAATATTACAGCAGGAAGTTTATTCCGCAATAACACAGTTAAAGGATGGAAAAGCGGCAGGTCCTGATAATATACAAGCAGAACTACTCCAACTAATGGACAACGAATCAATAGCAATAATTGCAAAGACATTCAACAACATATACAACTCTGGAGAAATACCAACAGAACGGCTGAAATCTGAGTTTATTGAACTTACAAAAAAACCAGGAGCCAAAAAATGTGAAGATTACCGTACTATAAGCCTCATGAGTCATCTCCTAAAATTGTTCCTAAAGATAATTCATAAGAGAATCTACAAGCTCTGTGAAAGTCAAATTTCTCCCAACCAGTTCGGGTTCACAAATGCTGTTGGTACTAGAGAGGCTTTGTTCTCAGTACAAATCTTATTTCAGAGATGCAGAGACGTCAACTGCGACGTATACGCATGTCTGGTTGATTACGAGAAAGCGTTTGATCAAGTACAGCACGCCAAGATGATGCAAATACTAAAAGAAGCAGGAATTAACAACCAAGATCTGAAAATAATTAGAAATCTTTACTGGAATCAGACAGCAAACAATTTACAATCGACAATATGTGCTCAATATAAACGTTTAAAAGGCAAAGCTTATGATAATTAGCAAGAAAAGGATAACAGAAGGTCAACTCTACGTCAACCAATCTCCCGTAGAAAGAGTGACGCACTACAACTAGCTCGGCACCATAATAAATGAAGAATGGACCAACAACCAGGAGATTAGAGCACGCATCGCAAAAGCTAGTTCCACCTTCAATCGGATGGGGGCCTTCTTCAAGAGTCACAACCTCTCTCTTGATACAAAAGTAAGAATGCTGCGATGCTACGTCTTCTCTGTCCTTTTATATGGTGTTGAATCGTGGACCTTGAACGAAGATATGAGCAAAAAACTGGAAGTATTTGAGATGTGGCTATATCGGAGAATACTTAAGATCCCGTGGACTGACCGAGTCAAAAATGAGGAGGTCCTTAGAAGAATTAATAAAAACCGAGAGGTACTGACCACCATTAAATCTCGAAAGTTACAATTCTTCGGACATATTATGCGAAATGAATCCAGATATGCTCTCCTTCAAGCCATCCTGCAAGGAATAATATTTGGAAAGCAAGGTCCATGAAGAAGTGTTCATATATATAATAACGATTCCCTATATAACGATAATTTCTCTATAACGATGAAAAGAGTAAACGTTGGTTGGTTCGTCATAAGGACAATGTATTAATTCTTTCTCTATACCGATATCGTTCTCTCTTTATAGCGATAACTTTTTAGCGTTCAATAGTTGATGACAAATCAGATGTGTTATTTTGTGTTTAAAGTTCAGATTACCTGAGTCACGAATGAAAAGGGAATGAAAGGTTTATTGTTCGGGCGGCGGAACTAACTGTTATCACACAGATGTTGTCATCTATTGACGACTTTTCATTTCCAGTTTGAGTTGTGTCTTAGTGTGCCAACAGTCAACATGTTTTCGAAAAAGCGTAAGTGCTCTCGGTGGAGGAAAAGCTATCGATAACTCGAGCAATAGAGAAAGGTGAAAAGCAATCGGATGTCGTTCGCCGGAGGGGGCTAGAAAGGACAGAAAAAAGTGGCTTAAAGCGGAGATAGAGGGCGGTAGCAGGAAGAAGTTGCGGAAACCTCAGCACGAAGATTTAGATCGCGCTATGCTTCAGTAGTTATAGCAGCAGCGTATGAACCATATTCCACTTTTTGGGCCTGTGGTCATGAATTGAGAATTTTAAGGCATCTGAGGGTTGGCTGAGCAAGTATAAGATGCGGCACAAGATCAACTACGGGCAAATCAGCGGAGAGGCTCGCGATGTTAACAAAAACGTAACGGACCATTGGGTAGAAAACGTGTGGCCTGAAACACTGAAAACACCCAATAGAACTTTAAAATTTAAATTGGAAAAGTGCGTTGGTGGAAAGCTCTCTAAGGAACTCATTACAGTTTTAGTAGCCGCTAACATGACAGGTTCGGTGAAGCGAAAATTGTTAGTGATAGGGAAGTCGAAAAACCCGCGTTGCTTTAAAAACATAAAAAATCTATCGGTGACATAAGGCAAACAATAGTGCGTGGATGACCTCGGAAATTTTTGAAGAAACGATAAGAAAGTGGGATATCGAGCTTAAAGGGAAAAAAATTCTTTTGCTTGTAGACAAAGTAAAAAAGCTCGAGTAAAAAAATTGTCCTGCTCATCCTGTATTGCGCGACCTTCAAAACATCGAACTCTGTTTTCTGCCAGCAAACACAACGAGTGTCCTTCAGCCCATGGACCAAAGTGTCATCAAGAGTTTGAAAAACCATTACAGGAGAAGACTTTTGATAGAATTGGTTGAGAATAATGGCGATCTTAAACTAAACATTCTTGACGCCATCCTAATGATTAGTAAATCCTAGGACGAGGTGACGAGCAATACAATACAACATTCCTTCAAACACGCAGGATGGCTTGAAGATCAAGGATTGACTTATGATAAAGATGACCTGCCATTAAATGTTTGGGCCAGACAGTTTGAACTAACTATCACCTACGGACCGGAAGAGCTAACAGATTTTGAAGAAGTTGATAAAAATGTAGCTACAACATATGGACTTTCTGACGAGGACCTCCTGCAAGCAGTTCGTGTAGAAGAAGAAGAAGAAAACAGTGACTCTGAAGTGGAAGCAGTGCCAGAACCAGCTCCCACCCCTCAGCAGGCATTGGATGCGGCAAAAGTACTGCATCGATTTTTCATCCACCAGGAAGACGATATGGTGCTGCGCAAGATTCGATGCGTCTTCAGGACAAGGTCAGGTCAGTTCTGTGGAAAGGGAAAAGAAGACAGACCAAGGTGACAGATGTTTTTGATAATGTAGGCTAAATATATTTTACAGTAGCATTCTATTTTTTTTATTGTACAGTACACATGTTTTAATTGTACAGTTATTTTTTATACTGTATTGCTTATATTATTCGTTAATAAATCTATGTGGAATACAATGACAATTCATTTAGATTCGTTTTGATAATTATTTAAATTAAAATAATTTATTTAGTACAGTATTATTAATATTACAGTACCGACTTTTGTCTCTCTCTGTATAACGATCTCTCCTTATAACGATGAAAATTCCCGGTCCCTTGCATATCGTTATAGAGAGAGAGGACTGTATATATATATATATATATATATATATATATATATATTATATAAATATATATATATATATATATATAAATATATATATATATATATATATATATATATATATATATATATATATAAATATATATATATATATATATATAAATATATATATATATATATATATATATATATATATATATATATATATATATATATATATAGTATACTGGTAAGGTTGTTTGGGTTAGCAGCTGAATAATAAAAGCCAAAGTGTGCTCTTTTCAACGATTTCGTTATATTTCGTTAAATTTCTTTAACATCTTCAGACGAATGCTACAATATGTTACAAAATGGTGAAATTGTGTATTTTACATAAGATGTAGTGAACACTTACTTGTGTGAGGTTGCAGGCAACCTCATACTCATACATTACACATAAACTGAACACAGCTTTAGTTCTCTGGCTGACATCTCCTAATATGATAGCTGACAAGACACATCAACCTTGAGGTACATACTAGATTTCCACCTCCTTGTGCATTAGTTGACTAGACCTTCCACCAACATAGCTGCCAAAAAAATGTGATATGTAGTTGTGTTTTAACTGTTTGTTTCTTAAATGTTCAACGTTTTTTAATATTTGTATTGTACTTGCACACTGGAGAAAAAAACAAAAATGCACTTGTATTGTTTAAGTTTTCAATCCACCATATAACACATACAACTTATTCCTTTTTTTGCTATAAAAAATCTTCAAAAAAGTTTTTCAACATGGAACTTTCAAATACCACTTTTGCCTGCAACCTCACCCAAGTAAGTGTTCACTACATCTTATGTAAAATACACAATTTCACCATTTTGTAACATATTGTAGCATTCGTCTGAAGATGTTAAAGAAATTTAACGAAATATAACGAAATCGTTGAAAAGAGCACACTTTGGCTTTCATTATTCAGCTGCTAACCCAATCAACCTTACCAGTATACTAATTAATAATTGGACAGCTGTGATCATTCTTCGTGTATATATATATATATATATATATATATATATATTATATATATATATATATATTTAATCTGAGCATAAATTTGTGAAGTATTTCAATTTCAGTTTTGCTTAATCAATTTTGTTACAGATGTACCGATCCTTGTGAACAATTGGCATATATAGCTGCTTTTACAATTTCTTCGTATGCATCCACAAGCATTAGAACTGGTAAACCATTTAATCCATTATTAGGGGAAACATATGAATTGGATAGAACTGATGACTTGGGTTGGCGTGTGATTAATGAACAAGTATCACATCATCCTCCAATGGTAGCACAATATTGCGAAGGCAGATCTTGGGTATGTTTTCAGGAATTTACCATGACATCTAAGTTTAGAGGGAAATATTTGCAAGTAAGTATTTGACTTCCGTATATTTATCTTTATGTAGAAAAACTGACTAAATCGTTTTTTTAAAGGCACATTTTTAAAAGTTTTTGACTCTTGCATTCGTTACCATATTATATATGTGTGTAATACTTTTTGGGTGCGGCTAGAAAGGTCACCAATTGATGTTGTTATTATCTAGATTTAGCCATACGGCTCTTATTCTAAGGAAAAAATTCACTCATCTCAAATACCTACGGTATCAAAAGGATTGAGCTCTGGCGGGGCTCTTTCCGTGTTATCGGGTCCTAGGTGACTTGGTACGTCGGTGTATCTTCCAAAAATTTTCGCAGGCATCTAGACGTCGAGAGTAGTGAGCTGTTTTTATGAATCTAATTTATTAACTTTATTTATTATAAAAATATTCTAACACTTAGTTTATTAAAGTCTTTATTAATTTATATAAATTCTTACAATAATTTATTTACGCTATTTACAAGATTCTAATTTATATACTGCATTTCCGCGTTACAATCCAAACTCGATACAACTATTCAGACTTACTTGTTTTCAATAAAATAGCCGTTATTCTGGAGTCCCTTCGAATTCGGACAGTGACCTGTGTTGGCCCTTCTCGAATAGGATGGAACGCCAGACAGGTTTTTTAGCGGATCGGAGAACCTACTAGAAAATACTTGTTAGAATAATATATTTACAGGTTAAATATGAGTCACATTTATCGTAACATTGCCCCCTCTTAAAAAATGGTTCCTCCTGGAACCTCGTCGGGACTGGAACTGGAAGGGTATGCTGGTATCGGTAACTGGACCCTCTTTTACAACTTACAGTTGTATAAAAATGACAAGGGACGGTTTTCTCCCCGCACCAGTAACTATACGGATTGCAACAGACTAACCTCTGGACTTCGGTAGCTTGATCTACTTCACCGTATTTCGGATAACCTTCCAAAATAATTGGCGGCACTCTAACTTTGGCATGGCTAACTTTTGAACGTCGGACTTTAGTACGTGCTCTCTCAATTAAAGTAAGGCTTCCCATACATCTCGGTACGTAGGTTGGTCACAGGTAGTGTTTTTTTTTACCAGGTAGAGAAGGTAACGTGATGCATCTTGGAGTTTCAAGGCTTTCCCGGGAGCTGACACTTGGCATTGAAGTTCTGCAACTCGACCGAACTTCCTTCAAAAGACGGATGCCAACCCTGGTGCGTCTTTGATACAGTGAGTAGTCATCGGGAAGCCGAGTAGATCTTGCTTTTCTTCAGTGGTAACACCATGTCTTGCTTTATTGGTACCTACATAGGCCCCCATGACAGTGAGGTCAGACACATCTTTGTATACTATCATCGGCTTTTCCCTCAGAATCTTGTTTATTCGGTAGATGACATCGTTGATCTTCTCCATAATGAGGTATGGACCTTCCCAAAACTGCTGGAACTTGGGAGAACAACCTTTTTGCTTCTTGGGATTATAGAGCCAGACTTGTCGTTCTTCTTAAAGCACCCCTTTTTGGATTGCGTATTGTACCGTTTCTTCATTCATCGCTAGTGATCTGAAGATGGGAACGGGCCAATTCGTGTACATCGTCCATTCTTCTTCGTAATTCGATCACATAATCTTCACCTGCTACATCTTCTGCAGATCGACACCCAAACTCTTAGATCACAAAGTAGTCGCATCTCGCGTCCGAATTGGACTCCGGCTGGTGTCTGGGCTGTTGATTCGTTAACAGCAGATCTGTAAACCATTGTGAAGAACGGAAGATATTGGTCCCAGTCTCGCTGGTGATCGGACACCATCTTTGTCAAATACTTGCCAACTCTCCTATTCATCCGTTCTACCATACCATCCGATTGCGGATGATATGCTGTAGTTCTTGTTTTCTTCATGCCTAGTATATCACATATTTCTTGGAATAGATTGCTTTCGAAGTTCCTTCCTTGGTCACTATGGATCTGGTGTCGGCCTTCTGGTCTGGAAGTGCGTAAATCTCGACCCACTTACTGAAGTAATCCATTACTACCAACATGTACTTGCCTTCATTTTCACTTTCTGGAAATGGCCCAGTAACGTCCAAACCTATTCTTTCAAACGGGCTTTCAACATTATATTGTCTCATAGGAGGTGTCCTTTTTCGTTAAGGCCCGTTACTCGTAGCACAAATAGTACATTTCTTACACCAGTCTTTTACATCGTCGGAACTGTTCATTAAATAAAACCATTCCCGAACTCGCTCAAGGGTTTTCTTTACACCGAAATGCCCTACTGGTGGACTTTCGTGTAACTGACGAAGTACTTCGGCTATTCTGCTCTTTGGGATCACCAACTGTTTTCTCTTCTCTGAACCGTCATAATTTTCCAGGACTCGTTTGAGCAAGCTATCTTCCGTTTTGTTATGTTTTGTTATATATCCGTTGTGTTGCAGTGGGAACATTCTGCTAGGCATGACCTTCTGTAGAGAGATTCAGCGTTTCTGTGGCTAACTCCGGCCCGGTGCTCAATCTTGAAATCGTATTCTTGGAGTCGTTCCTCCTTCTGGCTATCCGACCCTCTGGATTCTTAAACTGCATCAACCAATTAAGGGCGGCATGGTCGGTTCGGATTAAAAACTTCCTTCCATAGAGGTATTGATAGAAGTGCTCTACTCATTTCACTACTGCTAGAAGTTCTTTTCTCGTGACGCAATAATTCCGCTCAGGTTTTGAAAAAACTTTACTAAAATATCCAAGGACTCTTTCTTGTTCTCCTTGAATCTGAGATAGCACTCCTCCAATTCCCACATTACTTGCATCTGTATCTAAGATAACCTCTCCTTCTGGCAGTGGATACCCTAAAATTGGTGCTGTGATTAAATGCTTTTTCAAGGTCTCAAAGGCATTTTGGCAGTCTGTATCCCAGCGGTAATCTCTTGCTTCCTCTGTAAGTCGTGTTAATTTCCTAGCGATATCTGCAAACTTCTGAATAAACCTCATGTAGCAAGTACATAGTCCAAGAAAACTGCTCACTTGATGTTTGTCCGTTGGTTCTGGCCATTCCTTAATGGAATCGATCCATTTTCCCTTATCCACGGCCACTCCTTTACTGACTATATGAACCAGATAATTTACTTTACCTTGAAACCTTGAAATAGCTGGCACTTATTGGGGTCTAACATCAATTGGACAGTTTTAAGTCGATTAAAAACGTTTTCTAAATTCTTCAGATAATCCTCTTCTCAGCATAATTTTCGTTCCCTGTTAACAACATTTAAAGGCCTCGTAGTGATCAAAACGGTCACGTAAGAATTTAAAGTAATCTGCTAAAGATGATAATAGATGAGCGGTTGTGCTTAAATCCTTATTTTTCTTTTGTACTGCTTTACTAACCTCATTAACCCTTTGTAAAACGTCAAGCCAGAATGATAAAATTATTCCGTTTTCCAACCAATCAAGTTTTTCCGATAGAGAAGCTGCTTAAACTCTTACATTTTTCTCATTTATATCAGTTGACATTTTCAATCAAACATATTTTAATCAAACCGTAATTGTTCTTTAACGCTTTTACGGCATCAAAACGAGAAGACCAACGGGATGTGTTCACTCTTTTAGGTAACGGTGTCTGCCCCGACTCAGGCGAATCCTTTATTGCACGAGACAATAACTCCCACCTGTATGTAGATAGGGAGAAAAAATTGTAGATAGTTTTTACCAACATAAAAAAAGATGTTGCTTCCAAACAACAATCTGCTGCATTTTGGACAACCAAATTTAAAGAGTGAACAGCACATGGCACAAAGAGAGAGAATACTTGCCATTCATATTACTGGCATTGTCATAAGACTGGCTTCTAAAGTTCTTAATATCTAATTTCAAAGACATCCCAATAACAGTTTCCTCAAGGTCTCGTAAGCTCTGTCCAGTGATTTTATAAAATCCCACGAATCTTTCCACAGGATTCCCTTTTGAGATATTGTTACAATATCTCAAAATCACTGTAATTTGGTCATGGTATGTTATGTCAGGTGTTGAATCTACACTTATAGAATAGTATTTGTTTTCCTTTATTTGCCTAAAAATTTCATCAATGACTGATTGGACAAAATATTTAGTAATTGATTACATATATCTTTTGATAGATATGACGTTTAAAATTTAAAAATTTTAAATTTTATTTAAAATTATTAGTTTAGCTAAAATTGCTCGTTTATTAATATGATCTTTTAAAAATGGATCTTTTAAAAATGGATCATATTCTGACAATAGTTCTAGTAAACCTAAGTAGTTTCTATTCCGTTTTTCGCCAATTCTTTTATGGGTACCTCTAAATTCCAATTCCCTGGTAGCCAGAAACTTTATTACACCTATAATTCTTTCTAGTTCCTTAACCCAATATTCTTTCGCAGTGCTAATTTTCTTTTCGAGTTCTACATCACTCTTCCTTGTTTTAATAAGTGAGTCGTATACATTTTCAGATTGTTTATATGATGATTGGATCTTTCATGTTCGTCAAATCTTTTCTTACTTTTATTCCATAATGAAAATTCTGTTTTAAATTGGTTCTTTTTTTCAACTAAGACACAGTAAAGACAAAATATATTGCCAGTATTCTCGGAGTAAATTGCCCAATTACGGCGAACCACTTCTGCATTAGCCAGTTTTTTATAAAATATTTGCTTACTGGCATACCTGTTTTGTTCGCCGAGATTTCTTTTTGAAATTGAAAAGTCCATATCTATAAGATTCTGATCGACCCATTTTTCTAGAATCATTTCTACATAAATATGATAATCTTGCCAAAGCGCTGGATCTTTAAAGTTAAAGTTTAAAGGTACACTTCGCGCGTACCGCCCTGGAACCTTCAACCGACCGGTGCTACAACACCGAAAAGACTCCTGGTTAAACCGTAAAATGTTTTTCTGACCATCCCCAGCATCAAGGAAGTAAATTCGATCAGATCCAATGTTTACAGTTTTATCAAAGTATCGTACGCAATCCCTTATTGTTGATTAAATTGTAGAAGATGTGTATGAAC